CATGGGTGTCGTTGATCACCTCGGTGTTCCCGCCGCTCGTTTGCCCCTTCTCTTATAAAAAAAAATTCTTTACAAAACTAAAGCAGCAAACAATTGATAGTAAAATTAATCCGGATGACGCCGGGGATAAATAACTTGTTATGAAATATAAAAAACATAACGAGATAGATTTCAATTCACACTTAATAATATGAGAAGCATGTTTGCTAATTGTCTAGGCTGGCACACAATGCTGCGAAATTCTTTAGACAAATCATCATTACAAAGTATCGCTGTAGAATTGTTAGGGTTACCATAATATAAGTCGAAGATAATACATTTTTGTTAAAGTTGCATCAAGATTTCCTTCAAATTGGTCTATTATTAGTAATTTCTGTCTTAACTTTCATCCTAATCATGTCGCCTTTTTAACCGACTTCAAAAAGTAGAAGGTTCTCAATTCATCTGTATGTTTTACGCAATCCATCCAAATTTGTATCAAAGATAAGTGCAGAAATGTCAAACATTTGATGACAGATAAAATTATCGTGAGAAAGCAATGTCCCATAAAAGAAATGAAAATAGTTGACATATAAGAAAACGAAAAAATAAAAATGATGAAGATAAGATCAGAATTAAGATGTGATGAAGGATTTATCTTTCGAATTCGGCCTATGGTAACCCTATTTCGACCTCACGTTTGAGAGTGACGTGCGGCCCGGTTAATATCCGCTCACCTTTTTACCTTTCTCGTTAGCGATAGCTTCTAATGCGGAACAATGTCCCGGATTAAATGCTTTTAGATAGAAACATTCCTTCTCTGATAAAGTTTAATACATATTCACTTTCAAGCCAAGCATTTGGATTTTTCGTATCTGAAATTTATTAGCAAAAATGCAAGGAGGTAAAATCTTGCTACAATTTTAGGCAAAAACACTTATCCGAATTTAAAGTTAAGAAATAAATGTGCCTGAAATTAATTTTATATCTTCACTTTGGAGTAATCTTCATTCATCGTGTAACCGTTTGTTTTAATATAATTTTCTTTCAAACAAAATAAGCATAATTGAGGAAAATGGTATTCATTCATGATTAGGATTGTAAAATAGCAATGAAAAACGATATTAAAGCATTAATAATCATTTATTATGTACTAAATAATTTAAAAAATACAGGCAATTTTAATGCAGATCAAAACGGATCTGTAGACACGAGTTCTGAAAAGAAAAACGAGTAGAAAGTAAAAAAATGTGTTAATTAAATACAAAAGAAAATAAAACATTTGCAAATTTTAATTTAATTAAATTTAAAATTAATGGTATTCTGAAAAAGAAAAAAAGAAATATTATAATAATTTAAAAAAAAAACTTTAAGAGAAAGTAGAATTACCAAATGTTATCTTGGAACTTTACCTAACTGTATTCTGCAGCACAAACATCCCAGCTATTAAACTGTATTATTTTAACATGTAGGTAGTTGTAAGGTTTTCAGATTATGAGATTACTAAAATAGAACTTGTTCCTCTCATTGCATCTCGCATACAATGTGGTTAATTGTCTGTTGGTCTTGCATTTAAATTCAATGCGTATTGTTACAGGTCGGTGCGGGGTCGGCACAGGACTACGATGGTGAGAGGCTAATTAATTAAATTCGTAACCATTAACTGCCGAATTCTGAGTAATTAAGTCATCACTAAAGAAGCTAGCTAGTGCAGGTTTAATATTAGTATCAGAACGAATCAGTTTTCAAGAGAATGTAGATTGTTAACTTTAAAATCGGATCTGTATATAAAAATCGCTTCATTATTTATGTCTCATACTATATCTGTTTGAAGGCAAGGCGACACATTTTATTTGTCTTTTTTCCCATCAATTCTTCCTACATGCTGGAGCAATTACCTTGACTATCGTCATATAATTACTTACGTGTTATTAAGTTACAAAATGTTATAGCAAATTGTTTCGTATTTATGTTACAAACTTGCATTCCGTCTTTCTTGTTTTATGACATTTACAGTTTTTAGTATACACTTGCCGGTTCACGCATGCCTTCACATAGCTGCTAATTAACATTGTAACACCTATTTACTCTAATTTAATGAAACGTATAAACAAAAAAAAAATACGCAATATTTCCTTAATAAATCCACATATTATATATTATTTTATCAGTTATTTTTAGTTTTTGTTGAATTATTTTGTTCCCCTCCCGATTCGAGAGCGAAAAACGATGACGCAGGCTGATAAGAGGAAAAAATTAAGTGTCATCGAGACTCTGTAGTTATAAACACGCTTGCTAACTTTTTTCCATAAAATTATTTAAGGCACAAGATTAAACATTTGATATTACAAAACTTCTAATGGTCATTTGATTCCAGTAACGGACATCCAGTGCACGTTCGCAAGCGGAGGCTCAGGGATCCGTGACTCGGTGACGGCGTTGCTACGAAAGCCTGAGGGCTTCAGGGGCGCGCCACTGTTCGCCGATGACCGCGCCACTGACCCTATCGCGGATCCCGTCTGTCAAATACGACCAGAGCCGGACGACCCTACCAACTTACTTTACAGACTTCGAATCACCGATTTCACGAAATGTGGCGTCTTGAAAAGAAATGTAAGTGAGCTAAAACATTTTAATTCTATATTTTATTTATTATTTGAATACTGTGTTTGTAGAAAATAAAAATATTGGGTTGTTTCCACAGACATAAAATATTCAGGAAATTATGTGGCAAGACAAGATTTTCCTGTCACTTCAAATTAGATAAAATACAGTAATTTCTAGAAGTTTCTACATTTAAATAATTAGTCTTGATAGTTACATTAGGAGTTAAAGAAAAAGTATTTTAAGTTTTAACTTAACGCATAGACTGTCAAAATGTAGTTTTACGTACATTTAGTCGTTACTATTTAAATTGTCTAGATTAGTTGTTGTTAATGAGAAAGCGGCCGCGTTATCAGTCGTCCTACTTGCAGCTAATGTAAACTGGCTCTATGGAAAGTGCTTACAAAGCTTAAATTATAGCTCTAGCTTTGCTAGGGATAACTACTATGAACGTATAAGACATTTAATTACGTGTTAACTGCAATATAAAATCAAGTGTATAAAATTCGCATCTGCGGTTCCTCTGGTATTGCTAATGTCCATGGGCGTCGTTGAACACCTCGGTGATCCCGCTGCTCGTTTGCCCCCTTCTGTTATAAAAAAATTGTATAAATAAAAATGCGTCTAACATAATTTGTGCATGCCTGTAATTGGCATACATATGTAAAATTTTTGTGTGATTTTTGTTTTTCTACTATTCTATATGTATGCTGTTGGCTTGTCTTAATTAATAAATAAATATACGTTAATAGTAAAACTAACTAGGTATTAAGTTTGAGTATTTAGGTTACTAGTGACCTGCGGCGTTAATACAATCGCAAATTTCGAAGTAAGGAAGAATGTAAAAATTCGCTTACTCATTGAGTTTGAAAAGGTATCGATGTGTGCATTCTCTGTTAGTTGTGTCATTGATAGATAATAAGATATTCCGTTAATATAACAGTATGCAGTGTACGACATAATGCGGCATTCATATTACCATGTCACCACAACCGCCCGCGCCCGCGCCCGCGCCGCGCACCTCTATCCCAGATAACTAAGTATCGAGGTAAAGAGAAAACATAATGTCAATAATATTACAGCGATTAAATCATGCAAAATATCGTACAAGTCTTGGAATTGAGGCGTTTTGTTACACCTAAACAGGTGAAGTGAGTTTCCAGATCTGTTACTTACTTTCAACACATGTTATTTATTGTAACTCAGTTGCATAATCTTACCTTACTAATTTCTTCTTACCTACTACCTTACTTCTTAACTACTACTAACTTCTTATCTTACTAATTTTATAAATGCGAATATTTGGATGGATGGATGTTTGAAGGTATCTTCGAAACGGATTAACGGATCTTTTTGAAATTTGGCGTAGAACATAGTCTGGAAGACCACATAGGCTACTCATAAATTTTTTTTATACCGCGCGGACAGAGTCGCAGGCGATAGCTAGTAATGTATATCGGTATTCCCGCTGCTCGTTTGCCCCCTTCTGTTATAAAAAAAATACATTTACAAAGTTTCAGTGTATGCAATTTGATGACGATACTAAATTTTATTTGTTGGTCTCGTTGTTTATTTATGACAATTTTAGCTTAGGTTTTCTAAACTGAATAGAAATCAGTAACATAATCTCTACCAACGCGAGTGTTTATGCTGAATACTAAATAATTGACTTCGTCTGATAATATTGTATTAATTAATCCACAACTCTAAATACTTAATAATATACTTTATTTCCTTATATTAACCTACTGTTGTATTGTAATTCGATTGTAACATATTTCTCATCTTAAAAAGCGATCGTTGTCGATGCAACGTCGCTGCATGATTTCCCGGACGTTCTCATTTCCACACTATAACGACGTATCGTTCCTCAGATTTATGCAAAAAGATTGGAATGCAAATAATACACATAAACTGGAGCTTCGCGACCACCATTCGTACCATTTACCTACAAACGACCGTTTTACTTGTCGTTTATAAACGTTTATGTGGCAACAACTTATTTTATAACGCTTTGACAGATTTGCGACTATAGCTATGATAGCATAAGATTCTACAAGACAATAAGTCAAGGCAAAGAATTACTCTTTATGTAGTTTTTTTCATTAATTAGTCAATTTATTAAGTCACGTCGCTATTTCAGCGATTTCAAGAGGCCGCTCGCACGTCTGCCACCTTTTAATATAATAAAAAAATAATTTGCTTTTGTTTTTATAACTATAATTCATCAAATTGTTACATTTTAACATTTCGTAAATGTTTTTATTTCCTACGTCACTTCTGTTTGTCAGGGCTTCGTGCACGTGCGCGTCTGGTTCCCTCAATTCCCGGGCGTGGTGATGCAGTCCGACCAGGAGTTGATCATCATGTGCAAACCCCCGGAGCCAACCATCATTGAGAATAAAGCGGCAGGATTCGCTGGCAGCTTGTAAGTATAGGAATAGCAACGGCTACAGAATTGATCACATGAGTAATATAATATTCAAACATTTTAGCGGCTCCGGGTTAGTTACGATGTGTGATTAAGTTCTCTATTCTGTTGTGCGCAGCGCTCGTGCATAATTGCGAGCCACCATAAAGTTCTGATGCCACTGTACTTGCATATATTTTAAACTAGCAACGTCCTAGTTCGCTCGACTAGGCAGACGATCAAAGAATAGTCTGATATTAACTAAAAATGTATCCTGTATTTTGGCTTTATTGGACAAGGAGATAATCATTACAGCCACTAGCCCTATTAATCCACGCCTACGATGGAAAGAGAATTCTCCTTACTTATTGTACTGCAAACGACACTGTTCCACTTGCTAAGTATTCCTTTAATAGAAAGCTGCATAAATATGTCGAGGTTGTAAATCCGTGCCCTTGACTCCGGAACTTGTCCGGTAGACTATTAGCATACTCTCACTGCGGACAATTTAATAGTTACTATAAATTTTATTAGATAAACTCTAACGACTATTAACCTTCTTAGCCCGACAGCGAAAGATGTTGCTACATATTGTATTTATTCTGGACTACCTACATAAACTATTATGACCATGAGTTTTATAATAAACTCTGGTAAGTAAAGGTTTCTTTGCCCACAGTCCTCACGGAGCGCGCGTATCTGGTGTGGTGGAGGAGACTCCTGGCAGGCTAGAGTATGAGGTGGCGCTGTACAAGGAGGCACCGCCTGTCTCCAGACATACCAACCATTCGGTAGATCTGCCACTAGATCAGGTAATTGAGTTACGCCTACGCGATTGTTATATGTCTAGTATTTTTGTCTTTCCTCAGATATCGATAGATAATTTCATCGTTTCTTGGCAACATAAGATCACAAATCAATTTTGTAACTTAAGTTCCCCATATTACAACTTTTTCTTTCATCCTGACCTGCTTGCTTATAAAGTTTGCCAACTTCTAAAGCCTAATATCTGTAATATTAGTTGCAAACAATCGTTTTTAATATTTAAATGGTATGTATCTAATATCTTATGTACTGTACGTAGGCTGTTCCGATCGGCACGAAGCTGCAGCTGCGCGCGCGCATCAACCCGGAGTCTGCATGGAGGCACATCAAGCTGCTGGAGGTGGCCGTCTCCCCCGACCCCGACCGCCCGCACGCAGCCGGCGCCGTCCTCCTCGTCAAAGACGGGTAACTTACCTTTCTTTTGTTACTTTTTTTAACCAACAGCAGGTGTCAAATTAAATCCTAAGCCGCAACATCTATGTAATACTGTTTTAAATATAAGTAAACAAAGTTAGGTTTATTTTTTCGATATATTGCAGTTGTCGCAACCGTGACTTCGCGTCAATAATCCCGCACCAGCCGGCGCGCTACCGCGAGCGACACAACGAGGTGTTCCTGGACTTCGAGGCGTTCCTGCTCGCCGCCATGAAGGAGCGCTCCACGCTCTGGATACACTCGCAAATCAAGGCCTGCATGGACGCCGCCGACTGCCAGCCCGACTACTGCTTAGATCTGTATGAACCGTCAGGTAATATTGATACCATTCGTCGTTGCAATCGATCCAAGATATATTGCGTTATCTAAACGATGTATAACTTTTATTCCAGGTCATGGTCGTCGCAGGCGGTCGCTCCCGGAGAGTGCACTGAATGCGAGTAGCGAAGCATTGTCTGCGGACAACTCGACGCCGTACACCCGCTTCAAGGAAAACCTGGAGTACACGGTGGTGATGCCGGGCGAGCTGTTCCACCGCACGCCGCCCGAAGCCAGCTGCGCCACTTCCATGATGTTGGCTGTCGCGCTCGGCGCTCTGCTCTTCATGTCTGCGCTCCTGGTCAGTTCGCTAGGCTAACATGTAGCTTAAAAACTAAAGAATAAAGATGGTAACCAGTGGCAGATCAAGTTTTGAGTTGTAAAAAATATTTTTCAACTAAGGCTTAACTACTTTCGAATCTTTATACGACAATATCAATTGATAAAGGAGTGAAGGATATTTATAGGTACTATCGAATATTATTTATCATATTGACGATTGTAATTCTTTTACTTTCCAGATGTGCTACCTCGCAACCAAACTAAATTCGACAATGCTAAAGAACAGTAATCTTCAGTCTCCGTCGGGTAAAGGGTTCGAGCAGATCCTGAGAGAGCTGGCGCACCATTCGATGCCCGAATCTGGCTACACCGGCCGCCCCACCGTGCAGTGATAGATTACAATTGGCTAAATATAATATAATCTCTTCTAGAACATTCTTCATAAACATATAATTTATTATGCGAGTATGATATTAAAAAAGCGGTATTTGATTACGTTAAGGATTTTTAGATATTCAAATAATAATAGGTTACCTAAAATCATGACTTAAGTTAAGATGTTGCTCAGAATAGCCAAATCCGGTTAGATTTTAAGAAGTTTTCACCAGCTGACATCATCCTACTAAGGACTAAAACTCGGAATTTTTCCGCCCCCATATTTTTAAAATTTACATAGTTTGATTGTATACGTACTTAGTATGTCCAAAATAATAATAAGTTTATGTTATTAAGTTTATATATAAGCTTATTATTGGTGTCTTCACCAAAAATTTAGTTCTTGTATAAGCAGTATTTTTTTTTAGAATTACACTTTGCGCTAGGGACACCCCTAAAGTATGTCTGGGGTATTAGATTATTATTTTAGTTTACGTAATATCAGTATTTCATTTCTGGACAAAATAAACATATTGATAGACAAATAAGACATTTTATACAAAGATTTTATGAAATTTCTATATTTTTGTAATCATATGAGCAAAGCTCGTAAAATTGTTAACATACTTGTAATTCAATAAACGCTACTTAACATTTGGAAGAGTTAAAATAAGTAAGCATTAGGATTAAGTATTTATTATTATGTTATAAGGTTATATATAAGAAGAAATATAAATAAACTTATGACTGAAAAATTGCAAGTTGATACAACTACTTTTTCAGTCATGACCATTACATATTCTAATTAAGCTTTCTAAAATTAAGATTAACGTGTAATAAAATGATGAATTATAATTATCTATTAATTTAAACGATGTTTCATTTATTTCATATAGTATTAAGCGAAAAGATTCAAATTTGTAAAACCCTATGCGCCAAGTTAGTAGAAATATAAAGTCAGGGAGATGATGATAGCAGATAGCTAACATCTTTTTACTCAAGAACCGTGACTTAATAAAAAAAAAAAAAAAGTTTTGATTCAGTCACTCACAGGCACTACACTATGTGCTCTTTGATGATAGCATTTGAATTTGACGTGTACCTAAAGGTCTATGTTACCAGGTCATAAAATTAAAAAAAAATTGACGAATGTTTTGACACTGACAATTTCTTAACAGTGAACTGAAGTTGAAATGTTTTCATGATATTTCTGCCACAACAAAGTACTACAAGCAGAAGTTAAACCGACACTGAATGAAATATTTTAACTTAATATAGCTTAGCGTAATGAGCAAAAGGTCTATGAGTAATGAAAATCAAAATGAGATTTCAAAACCTAAAAAACATTGGTCAATGGGCTTAGTAGAATCCATGAAAGATGCAGAGTTGATTTATAAGGATACTGAACGGATTGTGGTTATTAGAGACAAATATCCTAAGGCTAAGATTCATTTTCTTGTGTTACCAAAAGATAACATAAGCAGCATTTATAAATTAACCAGTAAAGATGTGGCTCTCTTAGAAGAATTTGGTGAAATATTTAAACTGATACAAAAAGAACATAAAGATCACCTTAATGCTGGTTTCCATGCAGTACCAAGTATGCAACGGCTTCATATGCATATAATCAGTAAAGACATGGTGTCCCCATGCTTAAAAACTAAAGTGCATTGGAATAGTTTTACTACAGCTTTATTCAAACCTTATAATGGTAATTATTTTTTGTCATTATTGTGTGACATTTTTTTCTTGGATACAATTTAAAGAAGTAATTTGTTTCCTTTAAAATCTTTGATTTATTTGTGTAATTGTCACACCTAATATATTTGGGATACCTTATTTTCTGCCTTTTATGGTAAAGTAATTAGCTAAAGCTAGCTTTTTATTGAGTTAATATACAATATAAGCAATAACCATTCATAAATTTCATTAGACAAGTTATGCAATGATTATAAGTTAAATTTTATTTCAGATGTCTTAACCGAGTTAAAACAATATGGAGCTATTAAAGAAATTGCTAATGAAATGTATAAAACATTAAAAACAGCACCACTAAAGTGTAATCAATGTAGTTATGTACCTAAAAATATACCTCAACTTAAAGAACATTTATTAACTCATGTATAACTTGAAGAAACTTCTTAAATAAAATTTTGGCTTTGGAAAGTATAAGTGTCCTGAGGTATTTTAAATCTCAGTATAAAGGGACAATAAATAATGTGAGACGGTCATAATTTCTTTTTATTTTCAATATAGTGAACATACTGGATTTGTAAGTACAAATAAAGAGATTATTGCTACATATACATATATTATACAGACCTATGATAATGGAAAGAATCTTTTAAATGCCAGTGGGGCTGGACAAAGAGCATTCGCTTCGAAGCAATTCCATAACAAACACCCAAAATGTATGGAACTGACTAAAACGTTTGAAGTCATGATTGTCGCGCATCAGTTCCATGGAGCGAATGCTCTTTCTCTAGCCCCGCTGTTCTGTCCTAATTTCTCGGAAGTGTTCCCTTCTATAATATTGATTTTTTTTTAAGAATTAACTTCCATTATTACTTTGCTATAAAGATATGATTCTTTGCACTGCATTTTAATTATTAATATTTTAAAATTTCCATGATTTGTCACAGTAAAAATAAAGGTACAATAAAATTTATTTATGAATGATTTAAAAACAATTTATAATAACAATCATTTTTTTATTGCATTTGTTGTTAAAAAATAAATCCATTATTGTTTTATCCTATGTTAAAATATCATTTTATTATTATCATTCAAAATTTATGCAAAAATATTTCTTTACAAATAATCTATTTCATTAAATGTTATTAACAGTAATTACTTACAAATGTAAATACTTAAGTATTATATTTTGATTCCTAAAATACTATTGAGTAATGTTTAAAATTAGACTAAATTAACTACATATTTATTCTACACGGTAGTTTATTTGAGCGAGGACTATCTGAATCTCCCACTGAGCTGTTTGAAGTACTAACATCATCATCAGCATCTGGTGTGTACAATGCTAAATTCCTTCTTTTAAATATTTTCTTAATTGACGGTGGTGTAGATAAATTTTCTTGAGAATCATCTAAGTTTTCAGATTTAGTTGTGTTGTTTGGAGTACAAATTGAATCTGTTTGTGACAGATCTTCATTTAAAGGAGTAACTGGTGCAGGTAAAGATAATTTGAATGATTTCATTGGCGTTTTAACTACTGGAGTTTCATCAATACAAGTTATTGTCTCTTTAACACACATTGGTTTCATAGTCCGTCCAGTTCGTGCAAGCACAACTTGTAAGGGATCATCTATACCTAGTTTTTCACATATATATACAGTTTGAGGATTCTCAATGGGTTCAATTATTGAACTTTTTGGTGCTGTTGGTTTGTAGGTTGGAGCAGTTTTAACGAATGATTTATTTGTTATTGCTAATGATCCCATTAATTCCAATGTTTTTTGTTTATCATCTTCTGTTGGACTAAATTCATACCTGAAACATATGTAAAACCACAAAAATCACGGTTAATATTTTTTTTATTGACTTATTACATTTCTAGATTGGCAGAGACAGTGAGAAAAAGTGAAAAGAAACAAGAGAATATTGAAAATAAATGAATCTGAAGCAAAAGTGTACATACCTCTCATTACCACCTGGTCCAGGCATATGACAATCAATATTTTTGACGCTTAACAAGTGATTAGTGTCTTTCAAAACAGTCAACCATTCTAAATCATGTTTTAATGTTTTATCACCATCATATGTGGAGGGTAGGTCCAGTATTTGTAAATGTCTTCTTTTTGGCAAACATTTGTCGAGGGCTAAAAACTTTGTTTCACCTTCTTCATGTGGTATGAGGGCTGCAAATTGGCAATGCAAGTGAGCGGAAAACCAATAATCTGGCTTGAGCAAATGTAAAAGCCTTTCCGCTGGTGGACTACCTAATTGGTTTGATTCAATATCCTCCCTGAATGAGATAAGATTTGCGATTATTAAAAAGTATAATATTCCTATACAATAAATTTATATTGTTATATGTAATAGAAACTACTAATACTAAAGCAATTATAAGCTTTAGAAAAATAAGTGTTGTACCTTAAAAATGGTTTTCTTTTTAATAAGTTATGCTTATTACCATACTCGGTAATTCCTCTTGGCCAATCATGTGAGAGCATGACATTTACTGGTTCCTTAAGTTGACTTAAACGAAAAACATCTAGTGATCTGATGTGATAAACTGAGCGCAAGGAATTTTGTGAATAAGGAGGACTCTCCCAAAGACCTTGCAGATAATCATGCCCCTTAAATATACCAGAGAGACCTGAAATTAGAAAATTGTAACAAAATGTAATAAGCTACAATTATTTTACTACAATAACTTTTATATTTTGTAACCTAAATAGACTCCGAACAATATAAATAAATCAATAAAATACCTGCAATTCTTAAGTTTCCATATTTTATTACACCAGCTCTTCCTATGTAATAAATGTTAGGCGCAACCCAGCCACCATAAGGCAATTCTTGTAAATAATTTGATGCTTCATGATTCCCTCCTATAAAAATGGTAAGGACAGGTGCCTCTTTCTCACCACTATAGTACCTGTTAACAATTTACTTCTAAGTGAAAATTAAATATCACAAATAAAGACTTCCCTCCAAATTCTAGTTCTTCGTAACTATTTATAGGTTATGTTGACGGAACTTACTTGTGAAATGTACAAATATTTTGATATTTTTCAGGTACAGCCATAGCTCGTAAATCATCATTGTTGCGAACAGATTGAAAGTCCCCACAACAAATTAGTAAATCAATTTTAATTCCCTCCCTTTCTTGGATAGTTTCAATACATTCATATATTTTTTCAAGTTCTCCGTGGGCGCATCCTTCTATAGCAATCTTCATGGTAATTTTATAAAACAGTGACTAGATAAATGGACGAAACGAACACTAAGGGTATTAAAGATTTATCCAATATCGAATACGATAATCCAAAATGTAATGTTTTGTTGAATTGACAGGTCAACAACCTTTTACAACTCAATAACGAACCACAAACAAATTAAAGAGTGTATTCCAAAGACTAGATATGTTTTCCACAGAGAAACTTCAAATTCAATGTCGGCCATTACAATATTTGCTTTTTTTTGTTATTTTTATTTTATCACATTGTAAGATAAAGTGAAGTAATATTGTAAAATAAGGGTAGCTTATGTTATATAGTTATGTGTAAAAAAGTATTTTAAGATAAATATTTCCGTATAGTTAGCGTATAATGCAGTCTGTTTATGCGTAAATATTTCTGTTATAACCAGGTATAATTTTTGCCCGTAGTTTTGCAACTACGTTTCTAAATCAATAATGTGAAATATAATTTCGCTGATACTTATTCGATGCTATATTGTCGACATATGTTGGAAGTATGTTGCGCAAGAAATGAACAAGACTCCAGTCTGACTACCACTTATTCCTCTTACAACCTACAACACTGCAACTATAAGCAGTAAACGATTTAGGCTGTGGGCGGTTACAATGGAATTTATATAATTATTAGCAAACCCACAAAGATAAAAAGCATAAATTTCTCTCCTTACAATTTGGGAGGGATCAAGGCTATTCAATTAATTATAGACTATAATAATCTAGGGATAAAAGTTAAAATCATTAATCATAACAGTAATTTTTTCAAATCCCAAGCATTTATTTGTCCTTCTATTAATTAATTTTTAATGACAATTTTTTAGTACTCAGTGTTCTTATAAAGCAATATATAATTGTACCTAGCTGTTCTCTCTTTGCATTTTCACGAAATACTTTATGACCAAATCATTTAAACGCGACGCGACCAAGAAGAAAACAAAGTAAAAACTCGCCCTAACGATGGACAACCGACAGGTTCAAAACTAGTTGATGCCGTCAACGGACTAATTAGTTTATGATATAAACAATACATTACATTACAAATGTAAAAGTAACTTCATCTTTTTACAAATGCTGGCTATCGTACCACCGAAGACATGGTTATTACACATGCCGGCTGATACCTTGACAACTCAATTAGAGGTTACATTGCGTGAATTGGGTAGAAAATTAGATCGCTCTAATTGGCGGAGTTGAGGGTTTTAATAAATAGCAGGTAATTTGTGAGTGCGTTCCATATGTACTATATTTTTTTTTATCAAATACGAATAATGCATTTTTAGCCATTTAAGATATATTAGAAGTGTAGTAGATAGTATATGTAATATGATTTTTTTCTATCATGGACACTGCAGTGCCCCATTAATTGTTTATTTAGGTGAATTAACGTCTGTTTCAAAGAAATGCCTAATAATTATAAACACACTAGCTGTCGCATCGGTTTCACCAAGATCCGTGCCGCCGCTCTGGAGATACCTTCTTACAACAACTTCTTATTTTTTTAATAATTACATAATTAATAAATAAATAATAATAAATAAAACAAACATCAAACTCTGCGCATTAATGCTTGGTGCTTTGCTGAGATAGCTTTTTATTTAGTAACTAATACGAGGAAACTGTTTTTACGAAATATTTTGAATTTTACGAGGTTCCGCGTAAAGGCCTTGCATGCAATTTGAAATTCTTTATTTTTAATTAGAAAAATATCAAATGAGGTTTGGAAAGTTTTCAAATTAATATAAACTTTAAAGCTATTCAGTGAAAACATCTGTACAAATATGTAGTATGGATATTTATTATTATTGTGCGTTTGAATTTCTTAACGCAAGATAAAGCTTCCGTGGTACGCTTGTGTGCGCAGGCGCATGCACAGTGCGCGGAGAGCGGAGTGTAGCGGGCAGTGGAGCGGGCGCACGTCACAGCGGCCGGCCGGCAGCGCCAATAGCGCGCCGAGGCGGGCCCGCACTCCGCCCACACGACCCCGCTACAGGAAAACTTGGAAAATCTGCAGCCTTTACGAGCTCGCCGCGTATTAACGAAACCATGACAAATGATGTTCGCTTCATCGCTCGATGATGTTTCACGTAAATATTGTTATTACGTTGGTTCACAATAAAGAATAAGTGCGCATCTAAAGATTTACTGTGTATTTGAGCTGTGCCTTAACTTTACAATACTAAGAAATAGATACTTTCACATTTTCATTCTATCGCGAAAAGCTATTCTACTTACCACCAAATGTCAATTTCTAATGCACAAAAAATAATCAATAATAATAAAAATATATAATTTTAAATTATAGTTAAGCTTTCATATTATTCCTACACCAAACAAATTCACACATAATAATTAACTCGTTACTGCTTCCACTTGATTGTCTGTGATTAAGTTTAAAAAAACAACATCGCTACAAGATCATTGAAGTAAACAACGTGTAGAGACGTCACCCGCGCGCGCGCCCCTTCGAGCTTTTATAATATAGCGCTCGGCATAAGGAAGTCTTTATAGTCTGTGCGCGCGAGTCGACGGACGCGCTCCCGCTACGTCTTGCCGCTCGGTCGCGAGTCACAGGAAACTATCGCGTACTGCCACGAAATGAGCTGGGACCAGAAACGGGAACGCAATTGCGAGAAGCTGGAGATCAATGAGGCCGTCGGCAAATTGCTGCAGTCCTTCAATTATGACACCATCGTGCCTCAGCCCGCTAAGTAAGTTTTTTTAATTGTCTAGACATAGATGATTGATATTCAGAAAACAACAATTTTAGTTTTATTTATTGCGTTTTCAGAACATCAAATAATTAAGATTGATTCTAAGCTCAGAGAAATTATAAGTTAAATATATATGTTTTTATAACCTAAATGAAGGTAGTATTTAATTATAATGCGAACAATCGATGTGGATAATTTTCATAAAACTGTTTCTTTTTGTGAGCAATTATTATTTTACTGCCAGTCTTCTCAAATGTCATTATGATAATAACATTGCAAAGAAAAATTTAAAATCTAATCGTACGTGAAATACAACAATATTTCTAATGTCATAAATATTTCTTACTCAAAATGTAAGACTGGGTAGTCTTCCATATTCCAAAAGCTAAATATGGAATACGCTTAAATTCGTAAATTACAAAACATTTTCTGAAATCAGTAAAAACATCAGTTCTTAATTACTTATCAATTGATTTATTATTTTATCCGCCTAACTTGTTTATAAACTAAATAACAATAGGTTTTGTCTATGGTCTTTATTTCAGTAGACGAAGCATCGGAAATATGGCTTATTGTTACAGTTAATTTAACATATTAAGTTGGTGCATATTCCGATAAGAGAAACACTTGAAAACAAGAGCTCAAGTGGTCTCGGATCTTTGTATTATTTGAAAGTGCCTCGACTGATAACAATAAACAAACCCAGCGGCTGCACCGGACTAAGATTTTATTTTTAATTTCAATTGCATTCAACTTAATTTAAAATAGTAGGTACACTAAAATATGAATTAGTAGCTGTCGCCCGCAACTTCATCCGCGTAATTAAAATAAACTTGATTAGTCGCCTATGTAATCTGTATCCATGCAAAATATTATCAAGCCGTTCTGAAGATACTTTCAAACAAACATCCATCCATCCATCTAAACATTCGCATTTATAATATTAGTAAAATAATATGCAAGACATTCTATAAATTTGACTATAAGAATCTAAATTATTTTACTGTAGCAAAACAAAACATACTGAGGAGACTATGTTTATCATCAAGTCCGAAGTTATTCGAATTGTAAAATAACGAACCAGCATAAGAGAAATATAGGTATAACCAAAGCTTTGTTGTGTTCGACATCCTTTACTCGCTCTGAAAATTTGAAAGTCTCCAGCGTATAGAACTATTCCGTAATTACTCTATATCTGTATGGCAGTTTAAGATACAGCGTTACATGACCCCGGGTCATCGGTGCGTTTCCACAGAAGCCGGCACTTTATGTATGCCCGCTAATTGAATACCGCTTTATCTCTTATCTTCTCCTTGTTTATTAATTTCCTATCAACTGTCGGCATTTTTTCCAATGCCTTTTTTTCAAAGGAATTCCATAGAGATTTCAATCTCGTCATGTCTTCAATGTTATGGAGACATTGATGATTAGAAATGTTCTTGAAAATTGAAGCACTAATATCATATGGGCTTAAGTTTGTCGTAGTAGTATACAGGGGGCCTAACATTAGCGTGAAGGTATTCGTAACATCAAAATTACTATTAGTTTCGTACATCGGGTGTTAAATACAACAATAGATCTGTTACGAATATTGTCATATTTCGAAAACGCATATCGCACATATTCGTGATAGACCCTCTGAATATAAAGTCGCGTCTAATATTGAATATGAAATCCCTAAACACAAGATAAAATCCAATGAGTATCTAAAATATTTGATCTAACTTGAAAACGATTTTATTATACTTATAGAAGGTCCATAATTCGGAAAAAACAGTATCTTTTTACCGTAAATATTAAAGGTCTATTTAACGCCTACGAAAGACGTTTTGATGAATAAGTGCGAAATACTTTCCCTTCTTATTGAACAAATTAGAACACGCGTTAGAAAACATCTGTAGATACGAGCATTTAATGCAAGGCTTACATTTAACTATACGCAATTACTATTTAAAAACATTTAAGGAATTACCTATGATAGAGGCAACTTTTTTGTAGGTTTCAAAGAAAAGCTTTGTCTAGCAGTCTCGAGTTTATTCGGCCATTATACAAGCCGTACAAGATAGGTGACTAGCCGTGGGTTTCTGAGACCAAAATATCTTTATAAAACTGATTTGATTGATTGATTGACTAAACAAAGATATGAATATGTTTTGAACGGAGATTTAGGTCTCAGAAACCCACGGTCAGTCTATTCCAATTAACAACAACAGCGATTAAAATATCCCGCTATGAGCTACGATAGAACGTTGATTACAATTTAACATTCGACTATTGTAGGATTAGACTCAGAACAGTGTGTTATCTTCAGTCAAAAGTCACCACAACACCTGTCTCACAATCTTTGTGCCATATTTTCATTCTGGTAATGGGGTGGGGTGAATTCATTTTACTTAACGGACAAACCGTTATTCCTTTGTACTCTTATCTGTGGAAGGATTATCTTGTCTATATTTTTGGTATCTTAATAAAAATTAATCTATATTTTGAGTGTTGTTTCGTGGTAGTGTTTCTTGAAATTGGGGTGCGTCGTGTGACAATTTTTATCATCTTCCTGTTCCCTACCGATTTATTTCCGCGTGTAGCTGCGATAGTGCGCCTGCGCAAACATTCTCTTTGTGGGGTGCTTATCTTAGCCGCCTTAAGGGAGTCCCCGGTCTTGCCTGTTTATATTAACTATATTTTAGTGCTCAAAATTTTGATGACTTCATGGTAACCATATTGAAGTCGATAAGTAACCAATTTTTATCGTGGTACCCATAGGACTATCTATGGTACAAAATCCAACAGTAAAAGTAGTAGTGTTATTGTTAAATCAAACAAAACAGATTTCTTAATGCCAACATAAATTCCTTTCGAAGTTCATCAATACCTTGAAAATTAGAGGTCTGTTGTTAGATTAAGACTTCCTCGCCTCAATACACCGGCGGCGGCGGGCGGCAAACAGCGCCTGCGCAGTGTGCACACCCATTCTAACCTCCCTTTTAATTGGGGCCACAAACAATGCAGCACAGGTGCCGACATCGCCCGCCCTACCCCCTGTTTGCTTGCTCCACTATCTTCCAGTTCGTTAGGTGCCCTTTTGACATTTGTAGTTCGTACTAGTTAGACCCCTTTGCGGTATTTTTTGTTATTTTTATACAAATTTGTCATTTATAGTTCATTTTATTAATTATCAATACTATTTAGCATAGATTGTGGGTTGTAAATCAGCACTGGTTACTCGGCTTTAATCGACATTGGCGGAATCATCCGTTGAATACTAATTTGACATTACTTCTTTTTTCAAACTGTTTAAGGTCTTACAAAATGTCGGCAATAAGTTTACAATTTACCTTACCCATTTTACCCTTTTAACATTACTAGAATGAGTATCATCGATCAACAGGTTATTTCTAGATGGCTATTGATGCTTCTAGAAGTTTGATGTTGCAAGTAGTAAGACGGTTGTACCAGGAGCGCATGAGCGCGGTACAAATATTGACAGAACGTAATCTGGTCGGCGCCGTGTGAGCGGTTAGCGGGTGCGCGGTAATGCTCACAGTTAACACCGCCAGCCAGCATTGCTCTTCATTACCGCAAACCTACTTACCGTATGGTACTATGCGCTAAATGTTATTCGCGATGCCCTCTTACGTACAACTATAAAGTTACTTTTAATAGAAATACTAGCTGTCGCCCCCGACTCCATTCACGTGGAATTAAAAAAGTCTACTTAATGTTAGGAAGAAAATCCGACACTGTGCCGGTGTATCGGCGCTACGCTATCCTATTAAAATATTAATGTTTATGTCCCCTTACTTATCAATCTGACAGTTGACTAGGTAACGAAAGCGCGCCATTTAGCTCTAAATTTATTCGACTCTAGCTAATAATGTCTAAAATTAATTAGTAGCCTAAACGTTATTCCAGACTATGTTCTACATCTATATGAAATTTCAGCGAGATTCATGCAACCGTTCTGTAGATACCTTAAAACCAACATCATTCCTTCCATCCATCTCCATTCGCATTTATAATATAAGTAAGATATTGATGATGCGTTAGGCTTCTTAGATAAAGACTTGAAGTAAAGGAAAGGTAAGAACTTGAAGGATGAATTATCATTTAAACAACACAAATTAATCATATGTGAGCAGTAATTCCTGGATGAATCTAAAAAGGATTGATATTAGTATTCCGTTCTTGTTCCAGTTGACTGCAAAGAAAAATGGATAATCGTTCAATTAATAACGCAATATCACAATATTAGTAGCCTATAGAAATGTGTCGTGGTATTTTTCAAAGACATTTCCATGGCCAGTTGTGTGTCAAAGATAACGCGCGCTGGACATTATCAATGTCGGTGTGGACACAGATGCGTTCCCATACATCAACCCTTCAAAGCCGTAGCACCCTAATTGCATGGAACTTCAACAATGTATGTCAAGGACTTACTTGATAAAATTTACTTTGAAATATGTACTTGAATTAATCAGATATTATGTTGAAAATGTTAAGGTATAAATATGTGAACCTTTTTATTTTCTAATATTTTTTATTAGTTACCGATGTTGATAGTTTAAACGAATCGTTTGGATGAAAATATATAACTAACCATTGGTTTTAGAGACAAAAATCTCTGTATAAAACATATCGTCATCCCTGTCCATTATCTTTGACAAAACAGAAATGACAATTATGTTTTAAACGGGGATTTTATGCTCAGAAACCCACGGTAAAAATGAACCATCAAATTTAAATTCAACAATTAATACTTACCTTTGTTTCGTAAAATGCACTATCAACAAACCGCTCAAAGATGTCTTTTTCGAAATGTCATGAAATAACAGAATATTCTAGGTATTTTCATTCTGATACTTATTTCATCATCATCATCATCAGCTCCCTATACGTCCCCACCGAGGGGCTCGGAGCCTACCCTAAGTTAATGGTGATTAGGCCATAGTCAACCACGCTGGCCAAGTACGGGTTGGTTGACTTCACACATATCTTTG